GCTTATATTATAGATTATATTATAGATTATATTATAGATATATATATATTTATATATATATATATATATATATATATATATATATATATATATATATATATATATATATATATATATATAAGCAGAATAAGTAAAACTGAATTGATCGATTTTAAGATTTATAAATGAAAATAGAGCATATATAGCATTATGCAATACACGATGTAAAGTTGTCGTGAAGGCGTTCGAACACTAGCGCCAAACACACTAAATAAACATTGATCTAACAGATATCTCTATATAAATAGCATAGAAAGTAAATTGTTTAACACATTTTTAAAAAAAACTTTTTAACATTCTAGTTATAAATCTTATGTTCAATATATTCTTAACACAGACAATTTTAACCAAGAAGAACAAATAGGTGCTGTTTGTGCATCAGTACAATTATATAATATATATATATATATATATATATATATATATATATATATATATATATATATATATATATATATATATATATATATATAGTGAGATCTGTTTTAATTTAAAGATTATTTGCTTTTCAGAAATATTTACATAAAACATAAAACAATGACAATGGCATTATGATCCAAAGAATTAAATGCTCTAACATACAACCAGATTCATATATATTATATATATATATATATATATATATATATATATATATATATATATATATATATATATATATATATATATATATATATACAATATATATATAATATATACATTATTTTAATATACATTAAAAGAATGTAATTGCACATAATAAGATAGTACACACTTTCATTAAAATCATAAATCTTCAAATAAGCATTAAAACCATACAACCAGACATATACTGATTCAATAGATTAAGATAATATAACTACACACAAACTGACACTTATATTTTAAAATTAAGTACAAAAACACTGGAATACTGACACACATACATTAAAATAATATAACTATAGGCTACATAGAATAACATATTTACAGTAAATCATATTTTTAACGACACAAATCATATTGACACTTGACAGAAGCAATAACAACATGTATCCTTTGGTCTATATATTTTTATGTTCCCTTTCTAACTACATTCCTTACACAACTTCCATATAAATTGAACAATATCTCTTACCTTAAAAAGTATCTCTCCGATTGATAAGTATATATCGTGTATGTCTACTTTTATATTCGCGCAGACGGCTGATACGTCTTAGGTCTTCGGTGTACCAAACGAGCAACACCAAATTTGTCTTGTTTCATGTTCAAGAAGTTTCCTGATCTACTTTACGGCTTACGGTTCGCGTGTGAACCTTTTCTAATGTGTTTGTTTTATTATATCCGTGGTATGTAACTCCCAGTCAATCTGACCCGGCCGTTAGTCTGTATGGGGCTGTGTGTGTGTGTGTGGAGTTGGGGTGTGTGTGTCTGTGTAGGGCTGTGTGTCTGCCTGTTTGGGACTGTTTGTCTGTGTAGTGCTGTGTGTCTGTGTAGGGCTGTGTTTCTGTGTGGTGCTGTGTGTCTGTGTATGGCTGTGTGTGGGGGGCTCTGTGTGTGGGGCTGGTGTATGTGACTGTGTGGGGCTGGTGTGTGTCTGTGTGTGTCTGTGTGTCTGTGTGTGGCTGGTGTGTGTCTGTGTGGGGCTGTGTGTCTGTGTGTGGCTGGTGTGTGTCTGTATGGGGCTGTCTGTGTGGGGCTGTGTGTCTGTGTGGGGCTGTGTGTGTGTGACTGTATGGGGCTGTATGTGTGGGGCTGTGTGTGGGGCTGGTGTGTGTGACTATGTGGGGCTGTGTGTCTGTGTGGGGCTGTGTGTGTGGGGCTCTGTGTGTGGGGCTGTGTGTGTGGGGCTCTGTGTGTGGGGCTGTGTGTGTGGGGCTGTGTGTCTGTGGGGCTGATGTGTGTCAGTGTGGGGCTGTGTGTGGGGCTCTGTGTGTGGGGCTGTGTGTGTGGGGCTGTGTGTGTGGGGCTGTGTGTGTGGGGCTCTGTGTGTGGGGCTGTGTGTGTGGGGCTCTGTGTGTGGGGCTGTGTGTCTGTGGGGCTGATGTGTGTCAGTGTGGGGCTGTGTGTGGGGCTGTGTGTGGGGCTGGTGTATGTGACTGTGTGGGGCTGTGTCTGTGTGGTGTGTCTGTGTGTGGCTGCTGTGTGTGTGTGGCTGGTGTGTGTGTGGCTGGTTTGTGTGTGTCTGTGTGTGGCTGCTGTGTGTGTGTGGCTGGTGTGTGTGTGGCTGGTTTGTGTGTCTGTGTAGGGCTGGTGTGTGTGTGGGGGGCTGGTGTGTGTGTGGGGCTGGTGTGTGTGTCTGTGTGGGGCTGGTGTGTGTGGGGCTGTGTGTGTGGGGCTGTGTGTGTGGGGCTCTGTGTGTGTGGGGCTCTGTGTGTGGGGCTGTGTGTGTGGGGCTCTGTGTGTGGGGCTGTGTGTGTGGGGCTGTGTGTGTGGGGCTCTGTGTGTGGGGCTGTGTGTGTGGGGCTGTGTGTCTGTGGGGCTGATGTGTGTCAGTGTGGGGCTGTGTGTGGGGCTCTGTGTGTGGGGCTGTGTGTGTGGGGCTGTGTGTGTGGGGCTCTGTGTGTGTGGGGCTCTGTGTGTGGGGCTGTGTGTGTGGGGCTGTGTGTGTGGGGCTGTGTGTGTGGGGCTGTGTGTGTGGGGCTCTGTGTGTGGGGCTGTGTGTGTGGGGCTCTGTGTGTGGGGCTGTGTGTCTGTGGGGATGATGTGTGTCAGTGTGGGGCTGTGTGTGGGGCTCTGTGTGTGGGGCTGTGTGTGTGGGGCTCTGTGTGTGGGGCTGTGTGTCTGTGGGGCTGATGTGTGTCAGTGTGGGGCTCTGTGTGTGGGGCTGTGTGTGTGGGGCTCTGTGTGTGGGGCTGTGTGTGTGGGGCTCTGTGTGTGGGGCTGTGTGTGTGGGTGTGGCTTGTGTGTGTGTGGCTGGTTTGTGTGTGTCTGTGTGTGGCTGCTGTGTGTGTGTGGCTGGTGTGTGTGTGGCTGGTTTGTGTGTCTGTGTAGGGCTGGTGTGTGTGTGGGGGGCTGGTGTGTGTGTGGGGCTGGTGTGTGTGTCTGTGTGGGGCTGGTGTGTGTGTCTGTGTGGGGCTGGTGTGTGTGTCTGTGCGGGGCTGGTGTGTGTGACTGTGTGGGGCTGTGTCTGTGTGTGTCTGTGTGTGGCTGCTGTGTGTGTGTGGCTGGTGTGTGTGTGGCTGGTTTGTGTGTGTCTGTGTGTGGCTGCTGTGTGTGTGTGGCTGGTGTGTGTGTGGCTTGTTTGTGTGTCTGTGTAGGGCTGGTTTGTGTGTGGGGGCTGGTGTGTGTGTGGGGCTGGTGTGTGTGTCTGTGTGGGGCTGGTGTGTGTGTGTGTGTGTGTAGTGTGTGTGTCTGTGTTGGGCTGGTGTGTATGTGTGGGTCTGGTGTGTATGCCTGTGTGGGGCTTGTGTATGTGTGTATTCGGGGCTGGTGTGTTAATGGGGGGAGGGGGGTGGTGATTGTTTATGTGTCTGTGTGAGACTGGTGTGTGTGTTTGTGTGTGTGTGAAAAGCGTTTGAAGAGAGACATATGTGTGTGTGACTGTGTGGGGCTGGTGTGTGTGTGTGTGGGGGGTGCTGGTGTGTATGTGTGTGGGGCCGGTGTGTGTGTGTGGCTGATGTGTATGTGTGTGGGGCTGTGTGTCTGTGTGAGGCTGGTGTGTGTGTGTGGCTGGTGTGTGTGGCTGGTTTGTGTGTTTGTGTGGACTGGTGTGTGTCTGTGTGGGGCTGGTGTGTGTGACTGTGTGGGCTGGTGTGTGTATGTGTGGGGATGGTGTGTGTGTGACTGTGTGGGGCTGTGTGTCTGTGTGGGCTGGTGTGTGTCTGTGTGGGCTGGTGTGTGTATGTGTGGGGATGGTGTGTGTGTGTGTCTGTGTGGGGATGGTTTGTGTGTCTGTGTGGGCTGGTGTGTGTATGTGTGGGGATGGTGTGTGTGCGTGACTGTGTGGGGCTGTGTGTCTGTGTGGGCTGGTGTGTGACTGTGTGGGCTGGTGTGTGTATGTGTGGGGATGGTGTGTGTGTGTCTGTGTGGGGCTGGTTTGTGTGTCTGTGTGGGCTGGTGTGTGTATGTGTGGGGATGGTGTGTGTGTGACTGTGTGGGGCTGTGTGTCTGTGTGGGCTGGTGTGTGTATGTGTGGGGATGGTGTGTGTGTGACTGTGGGGGGCTGTGTGTCTGTGTGGGGCTGGTGTGTGTGACTGTGTGGGGCTGTGTGTCTGTGTGGGGTGGTGTGTCTGTGTGGGGCAGGTGTGTGTGACTGTGTGGGGCTGTGTGTCTGTGTATGGCTGATGTGTGTGTGTGGGGCTGGTGTGTGTCTGTGTGGGGCTGTGTGTCTGTGTGGGGTGGTGTGTGTGTGTTGGTCTGGTGTGTATGCCTGTGTGGGGCTTGTGTATGTGTGTTAATGGTGGAGGGGGGTGGTGTTTGTTTATGTGTCTGTGTGAGACTGGTGTCTGTGTGTGTGTGTGTCTGTGTGTGCGTGTGTGAAAAGCGTTTGAAGAGAGACATATATCTCTTAATAAATTCCCCCCGATCTTTACTATTAACCTATTGATTTAAAATACGATTACATAATTCTCCCTTTTTTTTTTAGACAAATTATCTGCAAATCTGTTCACTCCCTTCTTCCTATCTGTAAAAATGTATATTCATCCCCTATCGTTTACAAAAAAATATCAGTAACAGATGACATGCTATGTTTGTAGTACTGAGCTAACTACAGCTACTCCAGTTACACATAGTTCTCGTGCGGGGGAGAGGGGGGTGGTGCTCTGGATTTTGCTCAATCGATACTTGATAGCATATTCATCTGTTTTGAAAAAACTAGCAAGTATTTAATAACCTTTTTAAAGCTTAGTTAACTATCAAATTTACTAATCTTTAAAGTTTTGTCATTTCCTACCCAATGTTATACAATGTAGAAATAATTTTTATCCATGTGTAGCATCTACAATTTACACTCTATTTAACACTAATTAAAACAATGCTCTTTTTTTTATATCGATTAGGGGCGATCACCCTTTCGAACCTGGAGGTCTATTGTGCAGTAGATTAAGTAGAGTTCATCTTTTCCAATGACCACGGCGTATGAAGAGGAAACAAAAGTGAATATTTAAACGTTTTTTATTTTAGTCTCTCATTATTGTATTTTTAGTAATGTAATTGCTCATCTTTTTTTAAATTAAAACTCTTAATGTGTTTTATCGAGAAAAATATTAAATCTTACAACCACAGTACCATAATTACATAGAAAAATGAGAAAATTTTCTATTTCTAAGATTGTATACCCAGTAGTCCAAAACTCCGTTGTAATAACTGTATAAACCAACTACACAGTATCTCATACTCCATTTGTTTACATAAAATATAGAAGTTTAAAATATTTTCCTAAGATATCAACTGAACAAACAGAAACCAATGGAATGGCTGACAGCGCACTTCACTGCTAAACACTTGCACTATCTACTGAAAGAAAATGACCAAGTTCAATACACCAACCATTGGAGACGGAAATTGAGCGAGTATTGCAACCACTAGAAGAAACTAACGAAGTAGTAATATAAATGTTCTCAGGAAATGACAAAGTGCAACGAATCAGTCATTGACCATTATACAGTACTGTGTAAGTTAAAACTTTTTGTTTAGATAAAATGTACCTAAAAGTTTGGCAGCAGAGAAAAAAAATGAATTGAGTTAGAGCAAAAGGTACGTTAAATAAAATTTTTGAATACATATAACAAATTTTTGTAATCTCATCTTCTTTTTTAGCAGACAAAAAAGTAGATGACACACTGGACAGGTAAATCATGGCGTAAGAGACTGATGTGAGCACGTATGTCAGCATTCTATCATCGCTTGACCAAGATTTTACACCATCGGTCGTCAAGTAATCAGACATGTGGCAACAACATAACCCAACAAACAAAACTTGATGGCCAAAAGCTACCGGTATACAAGCCAGACCAACAAACACTAGTTGCCTCATATCAATTAGTAAGGGGAAATAATACTTATATTTACTCTAAGATAAAACTTGTGAACAGTTGTTTCCCTTAAATCGTTTTTCAACTCGTTACAACGAATTTTTTTCTCATTTTCTTCAACACAAGTTGCTTGTGTGGGATTTTTTTCCTGTTAAGCATAAACCCAAAAAATGTGATAAAAATAAAAGCTAATTAAAATACAGAACATGAAAGAAAATTAAGAGTTTACGAGAAAAAACATACTCATTTTAATTTAATATCTTTTAATCTAATAAAAAGTGAATATACATATACATATACACACACACACACATATATATATATATATATATATATATATATATATATATATATATATATATATATATGTGTGTGTGTATATATGTACTCTAGACTGTATTCAGATATAACATTCAGAATTACTTTCTGATTAGAAGAATTTCATTAAGTAGAGAAATGAACACAATTTTCAAAATATCGCCTTTAATACTCTCAAAACATATATTAACACAGTTAACTTTAAATATTTTTCTAAATACACGATTTAGTTACCAACAATGTTGTGCATTTGACAATCTTTACTTTAATACCTATTTTTATGTAACAACACTTTTTTATTTTTTTATTTTTTTTCAAATAAGCTTTATTGAAGGGAAACAGTTCCAACACGTTTATTTATTTTGAATAAAATGTCTTAAGCATTATATTTTGTGTTTAAGATCCATTGCGTAATCATTTTTCAATAGAATTTAAAAAAAAATTCTTCAAAATGTAAATTATTAAAACAGAAATAAAAGTGTAGAAAATGAAGATAAAAAAATAAGATAACAAAGAAAGAATAATACAAATTAGAACATTTTTTCTCTCATCTTTTCAGTATAAAACAGGTATAACATCAGCTACAGTGAAGGTTAGATAAATACCTAGCCGTAGATGGCGACATACCCTTAAGTGGGGGATTGAATCATAAAGTGGAGAGCTGTGATATTCACTGGTCTAACATGGGAGCTGTGATATTCACTGGTCTAACATGGGAGCTGTGATATTCACTGGTCTAACATGAGAGCTGTGATATTCACTGGTCTAACATGAGAGCTGTGATATTCACTGGTCTAACATGGGAGCTGTGATATTCACTGGTCTAACATGAGAGCTGTGATATTCACTGGTCTAACATGGGAGCTGTGATATTCACTGGTCTAACATGGGAGCTGTGATATTCACTGAACCACCATGGGAGCTGTGATATTCAACATGGGAGCTGTGATATTCACTGGTCTAACATGAGAGCTGTGATATTCACTGGTCTAACATGGGAGCTGTGATATTCACTGGTCTAACATGGGAGCTGTGATATTCACTGAACCACCATGGGAGCTGTGATGTTCGATATGTTCGACCAGTGAATGTCAAAGCTCACGTGTTGGACCAGTGAATATCACCTTAAAATTTTATAGATATCTATGCCATGATTCATTTCATTCAATCACTTTTTTCTTGTTTTGTTTTGATTTATTAAACTAAGATGTTTTTTTCTTTTTTTTTTCTTTTTCTGATGTTATTATTTCAGATGAATTTTTAATAAAATCATTTTGTTTTGTTTCAGCTACCATAGTTAAACAAGAATCTGCAAATGCTCATAATTGCAATAATCTTGATATATACATTTTTGGCTTTATATACAATTGTTCGGTTTGATAAATAAATAATATCTCAAAATTTGATGTATTTGGTTTTCTGACTGTGTACAAAAGATGTTAGTGTTAGTGATTGAAAGTTGAAAAGTGTTGTGTGTATAGTATTCCTAGCACCATTTGACATTAAAACAGCTGAAGCTATGTAAAAAACAACAACAAAAAACTAAAAATAAAACAATCTAGGAATGCTGTTTCTCTTAGCTGAGCACGTATTTGGACAAGAACTTAATTGTTTACCAGAGAATATTGGGACCCAGTTTGTACTCCCGGCAAAAAGTGCCTATGGTTAATATTATTAAGTTAAAGAAAAGTATCAAACAAACAGGATAATATTAATAATAAATACCTCCACACTAGAGAAGTATAGAACTCAAATCAACGTTGGTGTTGCTAATTTCTACACTGGCCATAATTGGGCTTCATTGACTTTTGCAGAGGTAGGCAACTGTTTTGTTTAACTTTAGATGTCGACTAAATAAAGAAAAAAACTGACACGCCAATACCAAAATCAAGAGCTTGTAAAGTTCGTGTTTGCTAAACCGAGAAGTCCTGAGTTCAATCTCCCGTGTAGATGAGGCTTTATAGTTGGGGATAGCAACCCTTCTTGGGAATACAACACTTGTTCTTGGATTTAAAAAGGATAAGAAAAGATATCCAGAAAGAAAAGCAGCTGAACGAATAAGAAAAAGGCTGGATATATTCGGTACAAACTGTACAATTTTAAGAGACACACAGTTCAAACTACACATGCACTTCAATGACAAAGTTCAGTGAAGCCATTATGTTGATTTTCACCGAATGAAGGACAACGATATTGTTATCTCATGCAAAGTTAAGGTTTATTGTCTTAAAGACATTATCGTGGATTGATTTAGTCTAAGACTTCCAAGAAGTTGGTAAAAGCTCTATCCTCCGTGTTAAATAAGCCGGCAACGATGGCTCTTCTTATTTCTCTTGTCTTTGATGTTGCTTTCAAGAACTTGCATGAGCTTCGATTACCCATATAAGGCTACAAAGTTTGGAATCTTGGCTTTCTTATAGTGGACCTGGCTACAGGACATTAACCGCCCCCTTGTCAATACCCCCCACCCCGGAGAATTACCCCCCCCCCCCCCCCCCCCCCCACCGGCCTCAAGTTATGTTCCTACCTCAAACTCTACACCTATATATTTCCTTAATCCTAACCGATAAAAAAATGACCAAACCCTAAGCATTCACCTCAGCCTAAAACTTAACACAAAACCAAAACTCTAGTCATAGGTTTTAGCCTAACCTTGACCATAACACTAACTCTAACCCTAAATCTAACCCTAGCCATAACCATAACGTAAGCCATAACGCTAACCCTAACCTTAGCGTTAACGCTAACCCTAGCCCAAACCCTAACCCTGACTCTAACTCTAGCCCTCACCCTAACACTAGCTATAACGCCAACCCTAGCCCTAACGCTAACCCTAATCATAGACCAAACCATAACCCTAGTCATAACCTTAACCCTAGCCCTAACGCTAAACCTAGCCCTAACCCTAGCCCTGACCCTAACTCTAACCCTAGCCATAGCCCTAACCCTAACGCTAACGCTAACCCTAGCCCTAACCTAAACCATAACCTAACCCTATCTGTACTTTAAGAGCTGTGTCCGTGGGGGGGGGGGGGGGAAGGGGAGGGATGATGTCCTCAAGGGCGGGGGGTTAATTAGGTGGGTAATGTCGGGGGAGGGGAGGGGGAAACTAATAATCTGTAAGTCCTACTTTTGACTTTATTTGATTAACACAATGTCGTCACACATTATGTAAAAGCAAATAAGCAATGTTTTTATTATTATTTGCATCCTTAAAAAATGCAAAATAAATGCTACACCATTACCCTCTTTCCCCTCGTTATACATCGTCACATAAAGCCACCGCCCACAATGATGGTGACCTCAATATACAATCATAAAGTGGTCATCCATTAACGACGACTCACTCTTCAGACGCTTTGCACCCAACCCCCCTTCTCTAATTGTAACACATTTTTACAAAAAAGCCAGATCTTCCCACCCCCTCCCGTCTTTAAAAACACCACACCTCAACACATAACTCACTTCGCCCTCCCCCAGAAACTGCATTTTTTTGTTTGCTAGATTTTTTTCTATAATATGTACGGACCTCGATAAACATTGAGTTAATCAATGAATTAATACCGAAAGCAATATTTTAAAGCCCGAAATAACGGATGAAAGCAAAAATGTGTCGTAAGACTTTCTGATCATCCCTTCCCATAAATAAAAAAAAGCCTGAATCCCCTTTAATACTAAAGGAGAGTATGGACGTTGATGGAGGATCACAAAGTTAAAAATTAAAACAGTGCAAAATTTCAGGAAAACATGTTACATATTTTCCTTAGGTATAAAAAAGGTATTTACAATGTGTTTTATATTTTATATTAAACCAGCGTACCCGCCCCGCGCGTTACTGCGGTCTCAGAAGACAGATTGATGCAATATTTTAAGAGGATTCTATAAATACATTAGCAATCACGTATTTTTTTTACGCTTGACCTTGATTTCTAAATCTGAACAATTTAAATGTAAACAAAGCCGGTGTTTTATTGCTTTCATCATAGTTGTTGAGGCGCAAATTCTACCGCACACAGTAGCCCATCGTATCCATAATGTATCGCACTCCGTTACGAACGTAGGCGCAATAGTGTTTATGAGGGACCCACACAGGGGCGCTGGAATACGCCAACGGTGTAGTTTCATCCCTGTGCAGGATGCCCAATCGTATTCTGTTCCCAGGCGACTAACGACGACACTTTTTTCTTTTTGTCATTAAATGCAGTAGACAAAGTTTCCCTACTGTATGGCGCTCTTTAAAACTAATAGTGTTCGTCTGGAAGCCAGGGTCGCACCGTGTCAAACGACTGCTTGGGCCCAGGGGACTCCTTAGGTGCAGGGTGTTGAAAATGAGTAGTTTCCTCACCCCTTGTGCACATCGCCCAATGTACGGATCCAGGGTTCTCTGGTCACCAACCTGCACAAACGGGGCGCTACCATCCGATAATTGATTTTGGGAAATTATTGAATACCCTCTTGGGTATTTTCGACAGTTAAGCTGCACCCCCAATGTTGTCTTTTCATCGGGGCCCCACGGCCCCACTAATTGTAGTCGCGCATATGAATAAATAGTAAAACTACACTATGTGTAGCATCCGGCGCCTACATTCTTTTTAAAGAGCGACCTTCACTAGGAATACGTAATAGTGAAGTAGAACACACTTAGACGACCGCACGGGTGTCAGGGACGTAGTGGGGCGCTCTCTGGAGCCCAGGATGTCAATATTGTGTTTATTTATAATGTTGTTTATATAATGTATTTTGTCCCTAGCCCCCCTTATCTATCATTCCAAAACTTTCCATGACATAAAGTTGACCCTACTTTTACAGGAAACTAACATTTGAACTACAGAAGAAGCAAATAAACTAGATGCATAATTAATATCTACAGTCTAAAGCCAAACATCACTCGATCAGCCCTCAAGTAAATTAACATTAGAGCAGTCTTCTGTTTCCCAGGTTTTTAAAAGTGCACAACCTGAATGGTAGAAAGAGATACACACCTCACCCCCCACACACACACTTCCCCCCACTCAACCGGACTGGCGGATTTTTCAAGGTAGCGTCCCCTCTTTGCCAAGGGTCAATTTTATGTCATGGAAGGTTTTGGAATAATAGATCAGTATGTGTACGGCAGAGACACTTCTCCCACGGTCGTCCCTAGCCCCCCTGATGATGAATGTTGCTTTTTTTTTTTTTTTTTTTTTTTTTGTTCTTTCAAATTATAATTTTTATTTATATATTTTATGAATGATTCTTCCAATATCTATAACATTTACCCGTGTTTGATTTTTTGAAAGGCATCCCCTTTTTTTTTTTTTTTTTTTTTTAATACTTTTATTTGCAATAAAACAAGTACATCAACATCACATTTTTTACATAGTTTCAAATGAAAACGAAAGGTTTTGAACATGTACATAATGAATATTTGCGTGATGTCATGTATATGATTATAACAAAAATTACAAAAGATGGCAGTAAAAGGGGTGAAGGTCAAATAAACGTGTCAGAAGTCTGGGTGGGGAGTGGAAAGGATATTTTTCCGAGAATGACAAAGGGCCAGTGGAGCATTTTCAATGTAGGGAAACAAATTAAGTTGACTAGTTAAAAGAGTGTTTATTTATGTACTGGTCGCATTGAGTTTTCAAAAGGTTGCTGTGTAAAACATGAGGGGAAAGAAACAAGATTTAGAACTTTAAAAAGTAAATGAATAGATATTCGAAATTGATGTTGGGGTGGGTGGTGGGGTCGTTGGAACAGTTAAAGGGAAAGTGGTGTTTTCATGTCTGAGGGTAAGTGGATAGAGGGGGAGAGGGGGGAGTGGGTAGCTGTGTCTGACGAGGCGTGGAGAGGGTGACTGCGTGTTTTAAGGCAAGCCAAGCGTCAAATTTTGTGCTGTGTTATCTGACTGCTGATGTGTTACCATTTGTAGTGTGTGTGGGTGGGGGGGGGGAGGGTTTGACGAACAGATTGCTGTGTGAGCGAATTAGTGGGAGGGTGAAAGGTTGGTATGTTCAAGTCGGTGTTTATGTTTAGATGAATGTTAAGTACCGACAGGTTAGGGGTGGGTAGGCGTGCAGCTATCACGTGTGGGGATGCAGTGGAGTTTTATAGATAAAAAAAATTGGTGTTCACATAAAAGAGTTAGTAAAGTTAACGAAACAACTGTAAGTGTTAATTTGGTGATAATACAATGAATACAAAAGGAGTACGGGTCATTGGGGTCATTTGTACGTTGTGGACCAAAGTACCTTACATATATGATAATAGTAATATAGTAACAAATGATAGCTTTACAATGTTTGTAAGCTTTATAAATTAAACAATACACAAAAAGCAACAATAGGAAAATGAAATGCCAAATGATAAATGATGCGACACAGAGTGATGATGAATGTTGCCCAAGTTATCCCTCATGAGAATGCTATGAATTTAGCCCCAGCAATAACAAAATAACGCGAGGAAAGTTTATACCAAGTTTTAAGTACTTTACTTATGGTTTCGGCAAATTGTTTACAAAAACATTTAAAATGTAATTAAATACTAACAAAATAACTTTTTAAAAATATGTTGCTATTCCTATACCCTACAATGTATATACTCTATTATAGCATACAAATAGTTACTACTGCTGTAAAATTTTGACATGTGTATGTCGAATAGTTTTTTTTTGGTTAATATGTTTGTTTCCCTCCCTTAGTCTGGGTGAAACTGCCCCCTTAAGTTACATATCGTTTTATTTTCATAGTATCGAATACGTTGAATACTGTTTCCGTTGACAGTTGTTGATACCATCACCAGGAAGTAAAAAAGCTTAGTTTTTGTGTTTGAGTGTTAGATTAGAGTGATAGATCTAGACCTAGTTCTTGATCAAGATCGAGAATTTGTGTTCATTTTTTTCTTGTTCATAGTTTAATCTACTGACAGAAACTTATACGCGATGAAACAAAACGTACTTAAATCAAGCCATAAGAGCTTTTGTTATGGTTTATTCTCATCGTTCAACTTAATTTCGTTTGTTTTTGTAATCGGTTGCTACCATTACCAACAACAAACTTATGCAGCAAATGCTATCACTAACAGTACCATTGACAACACTACTACTACAAGAGGACTTGAGTATAGTAGACCTAGTACTATATCTACTACCAATGCTACTACTAGCGCTACTACTAGTACTAGATCTAGTGACAAGAGTCAGTCATGCACATTTTCAAAATATTTGGATCCGAAAATGCTAATGGAAAAAGAAATAAAGATAGCTCCATTTGTTGGGAAAGTGTATGTAAATGTATTTTAATGTAATGTAGAGATCTATGTTCTATAACTTATACTATTAACTAGACTCTAGCCTAGATCTATATACTATATACTAATAGATCTAGTACTAACTACTAGACTGACAAGTTAAATACTAGTTATTAGTTGCATGCCTCAGTCTCACTTAAATAATAACTTAGCCTATTATTTCCTGGTATGATAGGCCTCTAGGTTGTTATGTAAATATGTTTTACTATGAGTAACTTTTTGGATATAGATCTAGATCTATAGGCCAATTTAAAATAATAATATTACTAAACTAAACCTAATTGAATAATAAATCACCATTAAGGACTAGGCCTAAATAAATATAATTTTTATTTCCTAAAAATAATTTTATCAAAAATGCTACCTAAGAATTTTTTTTAATTAAAAACAATAGCAAACTTAAGAAAATATAAGGGCCAATTTAGAATAATATCCCTTTTAATTTCTATTGATATGGAAGTGTATCAATTGAAGAAGAGAGGTCATAATGACTGGTGCTGTATTGGTGGGAGCAAATTTGTCGCAAGACAAAATGACTGGATCCTTTGTCTTGAGACATTGTGATGGGAGCTGATATGATAGGGTTGTTAAAACGTGGCAATTGACAATAAAATAATTAGAAAGTACTCTAAAGAATATTGTGATTAAGGGGGAGACTCATAAATAGCGCATTTTCTATAATTCAACATTTTAAAGGAAAATAACACATGCATATCATTTGCATATATGTTTAATACACTTTAGTATTTTTTTTACAATTTTTAAAATCGTTAGCCGATTAAATTTGGAGGAAAATTTTCCATTTTTACATGCAAATTAAAAAAAAACTTTATGTCAAAAACTACTTGTAAAATCAACTCCAAATTTTGGATTTACATAGTTAACAGGCTAATTAAGAAACTTATAGAATGAAAATTAGATATTTCTAAAAACTTTTTTAGTTATGAATATTTTTTTTAAGACCTATCAAATTTAATTATTAAGTGTGACAAAAAAATTAGGTTTAAACAAAACTACTTGTAAAAATTGTGGTATGTGTGAATATGGGCTAGTTGTATGTAGGCTAGTTGTATGTGTGAATGTGGGCTAATGGTATGTGTAAATTGGGCCTAGTAGTATGCAGGCTAGTTGTATGTGGGCTAGTACTATGCAGGCTAGTTGTATCTGTGAATGTGGACTACTGGTAAGCAGGCTAGTTGTATGTCAGCTAGTAGTATGTGTGAATGTGGGCTAGTGGTATGCAGGCTAGTTGTATGTCGGCTAGTGTTATGTGTGAATGTGGGCTAGGGTTATGTGTGAATGTGGGCTAGTGTTATGTGTGAATGTATGCTAGTGTTATGTGTGAATGTGGGCTAGGGTTATGTGTGAATGTGGGCTAGTGTTATGTGTGAATGTGGGCTAGTTGTATGTGTGAATGTGGGCTAGTGGTATGTGGGCTAGTGGTATGTGTGAATGTGGGCTAGTGTTATGTGTGAATGTGGGCTAGTTGTATGTGTGAATGTGGGCTAGTGGTATGTGTGAATGTGGGCTAGTGTTATGTGTGAATGTGGGCTAGTGTTATGTGTGAATGTGGGCTAGTGGTATGCAGGCTAGTTGTATGTGTGAATGTGGGCTAGTGGTATGTGTGAATGTGGGCTAGTGGTATGTGTGAATGTGGGCTAGTGTTATGTATGAATGTGGGCTAGTGTTATGTGTGAATGTGGGCTAGTGTTATGTGTGAATGTGGGCTAGTGGTATGCAGGCTAGTTGTATGTGTGAATGTGGGCTAGTGTTATGTGTGAATGTGGGCTAGTGGTATGTGTGAATGTGGGCTAGTGTTATGTGTGAATGTGGGCTAGTGTTATGTGTGAATGTGGGCTAGTGTTATGTGTGAATGTGGGCTAGTGTTATGTGTGAATGTGGGCTAGGGTTATGTGTGAACATGGGCTAGTGTTATGTGTGAACATGGGCTAGTGGTATGTGTGAACATGGGCTAGTGGAATGTGTGAATATGGGCTAGTTGTATGTGTGAACATGGGCTAGTGGTATGTGTGAATGTGGGCTAGTGGTATGTGTGAACATGGGCTAGTGGTATGTGTGAACATGGGCTAGTGTTATGTGTGAACATGGGCTAGTGTTATGTGTGAATGTGGGCTAGTGGTATGTGGGCTAGTGGTATGTGGGCTAGTGGTATGTGTGAACATGGGCTAGTGTTATGTGTGAACAGGGGCTAGTGTTAGGTGTGATTGAGAGGGAGATGATGGACAACTGTGTAGAACAGATCTACAAGTTTCTATTTTTTTCAGACCATTATGCACTCATGTTTTATTGAAATAATTACTTTGTTCTTTTTTTTTTTAAATTTACTTCAGCTTTCTGAATAAAAAAATTGTTTGTGCAGGTACACATCTCAAGATAACGAGCGAGAGTATCAGTTCATCGTTGGCATCTGCCAGCCTGTCATTGAAGGCACGACAGTGGCAGTGGTGCAGCAGAAACTGGATGCCAGTGGAAAAGTCAATGGAGATATCAACACCTGGTCAAATCTGGGGAACCTTAAGGACACAGATATCATGCTAGGCAGTAAGATGAACATTTTCTCCTGATAAATTAGGCTCGGCTAGGCAGTAAGATGAACATTTTCTCCTCTGATAAATTAGGCTCAGCTAGGCAGTAAGATGAACATTTTCTCCTGATAAATTAGGCTCAGCTAGGCAGTAAGATGAACATTTTCTACTCTGATAAATTAGGCTCAGCTAGGCAGTAAATAAATCAAGATTTTTTCAAATCTCGACGTTTTACACCTCCCTGAGTCGGAAAAACAGTTTTGCAATCTTGTCCATATGTGTGTGTGTAAACACGATAACTTGAGTACCGTTACAGCTAGGTTGATGAAATTTCGTATATAAGTATTATATCAAATTCGTAGATCCGTATCAACTTTTGAGCGATTTCCAATAACCGTAAGTGGAACTTTTTCTACTTTCAATTTTTCAAAAGGCTATAACTTGAGTACTATTTCAGATAGATAAATGAAATTTTACATGTAAGTATAAGATCTAATTTTCTACCTTCTGTCAAATTTTGAGTAATTTTCGTTGACAGGAAGCAGTAATTTTTGCTATTTCTCATTTCTCAAAAAATGCTTGTAAATTTATAAAGTAGTAATAATATTCGGCACTATTATGCACATTTTTTTTTGCGTTCACTTGGCATGCAATTCTTTTTTCTACGAGGTTCTATTCTTTTTTTTTTAAAGGTTTAAGTAATTAAAAATGGATTAAAAATCATGTCTATATCCCTAGTCTCCATCCCCTGTTGTTTTCTATAAGAATATTCAAGATCACTCCCGGTTTATTTTTCATCTAATTTAAACACCCTTTCATCACAAAATTTAAAGCTACTATCTCCTAACGCTGACATCACCGTCCCCTTTTTTAAAATTGCAGTTTTTTTTGTCTTAGGGGTCGTCCATAAAGGACGTCACACTCGTAGGGGGGGGGGGGTCCGTAATTTTGTGACGGTGTGTGATGAGGGGGAGGGGGGGGGGGGTTCAGATGGTGCGACGTCACACTTTTGCATTATAAAAACCAATGTTAGAAAACGAATTTTAGACGTTATTTCGCGTTTTAGAAAACTGTTTTGATAAATTGTAATAGGAATTGATTAAAATACTCTATTTTGACAGAGTTCAGACAAGATTTTAGAAAAATATCGATGTTTAAAAAAAAATTCAACTGCAGTTTTGAGGGGGGTTGTAGGCTGAGGTGTAACGTCCTATTGGCGGGGGGGGGGGGGGTGTCTGACTTTTTGTGATGGTGTGTGATGGAGGGCAGCGTAAAAAAAAGCGTGACGTCATTTTTGGATGACCCCTTAAGAAGTATTGTTTTTATTTTCTTGTACATACGGAGAGTATAGAGGAAACGTAATTGTGCAAAAAATCTTGTCTATATGTCTGTGTGTGTGTTTTCATAAAAATTTTGAGTAATTTCTGGTGACGGGAAGAGTACTTTTGCTATTTTTGATTTCTCAAAAAATGCATATGATTTTATAATATACTAATGTTCTGCACTATTAGACACACATTGTTTGCTTTTCACTTAATGCACACTTCTTTTTTCTATGAGATTTTATTCTAATTTTAAAAAGTTTCAAGTATTTAAAAATTAATAAAAATTAATTAAAAAGTTTAATCATGGCAATTAAGAACATAAAGGGGATGAGGAAGAATATCTTTTTAAATAGATTAATTGCTGTACATCTGGATTTTATATTTCAGACTGACCATTTCTTGAGATTTGTTTTCCTTTATATTTCAGACTGACCATTTCTTGAGATTTATATTTCAGCTGACTGGCTGTTTCTTGAGTATAGAGGTGGAGATCGATATACGTCTCATTGTGGGACAGAAAATAAGCGCACAGCCATTATGATAAGTTGTGATGAAAATGTTGATGATGTAAGTCAATATAATAGTATTTCAGCACATACATTCTGTGTTCATACAAGTAACACATACCTAGTGTTCATACAAGTAATACACAAGTTCTGTGTTCATACAATAACACATAAGTTGTGTGTTAAGACAAGTAACACAAAAGTTGTGTGTTCAGACAAGTAACCCATAAGTTGTGTTTTCAGACAAGTAACACATAAGTTCTGTGTTCAGATAAGCAACTCAACACTTGTAATATGAGACTGTGTAAACCTAATGCCTACACCTTCTTTGTATAAAACTATTGCCTCCACCACAGTGTAGCAACACTTGCCTCCACCCACACTGTATCAACACTTGCCCCCACCCACACTGTATCAACACTTGCCTCCACCCACACTGTATCAACTGTATCAACACTTGCCCCCACCCACACTGTATCAACACTTGCCTCCACCCACACTGTATCAACACTTGCCTCCACCCACACTGTATCAACACTTGCCTCCACCCACACTGTATCAACACTTGCCTCCACCCACACTGTATCAACTGTATCAACACTTGCCCCCACCCACACTGTATCAACACTTGCCTCCACCCACACTTGCCTCCACCCACACTTGCCTCCACCCACACTTGCCTCCACCCACACTGTATCAACACTTGCCTCCACCCACACTGTATCAACACTTGCCTCCACCCACACTGTATCAACACTTGCCTCCACCCACACTGTATCAACTGTATCAACACTTGCCCCCACCCACACTGTATCAACACTTGCCTCCACCCACACTTGCCTCCACCCACACTGTATCAACACTTGCCTCCACCCACACTGTATCAACACTTGCCTCCACCCACACTGTATCAACTGTATCAACACTTGCCCCCACCCACACTGTATCAACACTTGCCTCCACCCACACTGTATCAACACTTGCCTCCACCCACACTGTATCAACACTTGCCTCCACCCACACTTGCCTCCACCCACACTGTATCAACACTTGCCTCCACCCACACTTGCCTCCACCCACACTGTATCAACACTTGCCTCCACCCACACTGTATCAACACTTGCCTCCACCCACACTGTATCAACACTTGCCTCCACCCACACTGTATCAACATTTGCCTCCACCCACACTGTATCAACACTTGCCTCCACCCACACTGTATCAACACTTGCCTCCACCCACACTTGTCTCCACCCACACTTGCCTCCACCCACACTTGCCTCCACCCACACTTGCCTCCACCCACACTGTATCAACACTTGCCTCCACCCACACTGTATCAACACTTGCCCCCACCCACACTGTATCAACACTTGCCTTCACCCACACTGTATCAACACTTGCCTCCACCCACACTGTATCAACACTTGCCCCCACCCACACTGTATCAACACTTGCCCCCACCCACACTGTATCAACACTTGCCCCCACCCACACTGTATCAACACTTGCCTCCACCCACACTGTATCAACACTTGCCTCCACCCACACTGTATCAACACTTGCCTCCACCCACACTGTATCAACACTTGCCTCCACCCACACTTGCCTCCACCCACACTGTATCAACACTTGCCTCCACCCACACTGTATCAACACTTGCCTCCACCCACACTGTATCAACTGTATCAACACTTGCCCCCACCCACACTTGCCTCCACCCACACTGTATCAACACTTGCCTCCACCCACACTGTATCAACACTTGCCTCCACCCACACTGTATCAACACTTGCCTCCACCCACACTGTATCAACACTTACCTCCACCCACACTGTATCAACACTTGCCTCCACCCACACTGTATCAACACTTGCCTCCACCCACACTTGCCCCCACCCACACTTGCCTCCACCCACACTGTATCAACACTTGCCTCCACCCACACTGTATCAACACTTGCCCCCACCCACACTTGCCCCCACCCACACTGTATCAACACTTGCCTCCACCCACACTTGCCTCCACCCACACTTGCCTCCACCCACACTTGCCCCCACCCACACTTGCCTCCACCCACACTTGCCTCCACCCACACTGTATCAACACTTGCCTCCACCCACACTGTATCAACACTTGCCCCCACCCACACTGTATCAACACTTGCCTCCACCCACACTTGCCTCCACCCACACTGTATCAACACTTGCCTCCACCCACACTTGCCTCCACCCACACTGTATCAACACTTGCCTCCACCCACACTGTATCAACACTTGCCTCCACCCACACTGTATCAACACTTGCCTCCACCCACACTGTATCAACACTTGCCTCCACCCACACTGTATCAACACTTGCCTCCACCCACACTGTATCAACATTTGCCTCCACCCACACTGTATCAACACTTGCCCCCACCCACACTGTATCAACACTTGCCCCCACCCACACTGTATCAACTGTATCAACACTTGCCCCCACCCACACTGTATCAACACTTGCCCCCACCCACACTGTATCAACACTTGCCTCCACCCACACTGTATCAACACTTGCCCCCACCAACACTGTATCAACACTTGCCTCCACCCACACTTGCCTCCACCCACACTTGCCTCGACCCACACTGTATCAACACTTGCCTCCACCCACACTGTATCAACACTTGCCCCCACCAACACTGTATCAACACTTGCCTCCACCCACACTTGCCTCCACCCACACTTGCCTCGACCCACACTGTATCAACACTTGCCTCCACCCACACTTGCCTCCACCCACACTGTATCAACACTTGCCTCCACCCACACTGTATCAACACTTGCCTCCACCCACACTTGCCTCCACACACACTGTATCAACACTTGCCTCCACCCACACTGTATCAACACTTGCCTCCACCCACACTGTATCAACACTTGCCTCCACCCACACTTGCCTCCACCCACACTTGCCTCCACCCACACTGTATCAACACTTGCCTCCACCCACAATGTATCAACACTTGCCTCCACCCACACTGTATCAACACTTGCCTCCACCCACACTTGCCTCCACCCACACTTGCCTCCACCCACACTGTATCAACACTTGCCTCCACCCACACTGTATCAACACTTGCCTCCACCCACACTTGCCTCCACCCACACTTGCCTCCACCCACACTGTATCAACACTTGCCTCCACCCACACTGTATCAACACTTGCCTCCACCCACACTTGCCTCCACCCACACTGTATCAACACTTGCCTCCACCCACACTGTATCAACACTTGCCTCCACCCACACTGTATCAACACTTGCCTCCACCCACACTTGCCTCCACCCACACTGTATCAACACTTGCCTCCACCCAAACTGTATCAACACTTGCCTCCACCCACACTGTATCAACACTTGCCTCCACCCACACTGTATCAACACTTGCCTCCACCCACACTGTATAAACACTTGCCCCCACCCACACTTGCCTCCACCCACACTTGCCTCCACCCACACTGTATCAACACTTGCCTCCACCCACACTGTATCAACACTTGCCTCCACCCACACTGTATCAACACTTGCCTCCACCCACACTGTATCAACACTTGCCCCCCACCCACACTGTATCAACACTTGCCTCCACCCACACTGTATCAACACTTGCCTCCACCCACACTTGCCTCCACCCACACTGTATCAACACTTGCCTCCACCCAAACTGTATCAACACTTGCCTCCACCCACACTGTATCAACACTTGCCTCCACCCACACTGTATCAACACTTGCCCCCACCCACACTTGCCTCCACCCACACTTGCCTCCACCCATACTGTATCAACACTTGCCTCCACCCACACTGTATCAACACTTGCCCCCACCCACACTGTATCAACACTTGCCTCCACCCACACTGTATCAACACTTGCCTCCACCCACACTTGCCTCCACCCACACTTGCCTCCACCCACACTGTATCAACACTTGCCTCCACCCACACTGTATCAACACTTGCCTCCACCCACACTGTATCAACACTTGCCTCCACCCACACTGTATCAACACTTGCCTCCACCCACACTTGCCTCCACCCACACTGTATCAACACTTGCCTCCACCCACACTTGCCTCCACCCACACTTGCCTCCACCCACACTGTATCAACACTTGCCTCCACCCACACTTGCCCCCACCCACACTTGCCTCCACCCACACTGTATCAACACTTGCCTCCACCCACACTTGCCCCCACCCACACTTGCCTCCACCCACACTGTATCAACACTTGCCTCCACCCACACTTGCCCCCACCCACACTTGCCTCCACCCACACTTGCCTCCACCCACACTGTATCAACACTTGCCTCCACCCACACTTGACTCCACCCACACTTGCCTCCACCCACACTGTATCAACACTTGCCTCCACCCACACTTGCCTCCACCCACACTGTATCAACACTTGCCTCCACCCACACTGTATCAACACTTGCCTCCACCCACACTGTATCAACACTTGCCTCCACCCACACTGTATCAACACTTGCCTCCACCCACACTGTATCAACAGTTGTCTCCACCCACAATGTATCAACACTTGCCTCCACCCACACTTGCCTCCACCCACACTTGCCTCCACCAACACTGTATCAACACTTGCCCCCACCCACACTGTATCAACACTTGCCCCCACCCACACTGTATCAACACTTGCCTCCACCCACACTGTATCAACACTTGCCTCCACCCACACTGTATCAACACTTGCCCCCACCCACACTGTATCAACACTTGCCTCCACCCACACTGTATCAACACTTGCCTCCACCCACACTGTATCAACACTTGCCTCCACCCACACTTGCCTCCACCCACACTTGCCTCCACCCACACTGTATCAACACTTGCCCCCACCCACACTGTATCAACACTTGCCCCCACCCAAACTGTATCAACACTTGCCTCCACCCACACTGTATCAACACTTGCCTCCACCCACACTGTATCAACACTTGCCTCCACCCACACTGTATCAACACTTGCCTCCACCCACACTGTATCAACACTTGCCTTCACCCACACTTGCCTCCACCCACACTTGCCTCCACCCACACTGTATCAACACTTGCCTCCACCCACACTGTATCAACACTTGCCTCCACCCACACTTGCCTCCACCCACACTTGCCTCGACCCACACTGTATCAATGATTGCCTCCACCCACACTGTATCAACACTTGCCTCCACCCACACTGTATCAACACTTGCCTCCACCCACACTGTATCAACACTTGCCTCCACCCACACTGTATCAACACTTGCCTCCACCCACACTGTATCAACACTTGCCTCCACCCACACTGTATCAACACTTGCCTCCACCCACACTTGCCTCCACCCACACTTGCCTCGACCCACACTGTATCAACACTTGCCTCCACCCACACTTGCCTCCACCCACACTTGCCTCGACCCACACTGTATCAATGATTGCCTCCACCCACACTGTATCAACACTTGCCTCCACCCACACTGTATCAACACTTGCCTCCACCCACACTGTATCAACACTTGCCTCCACCCACACTGTATCAACACTTGCCTCCACCCACACTTGCCTCCACCCACACTTGCCTCCACCCACACTGTATCAACACTTGCCTCCACCCACACTGTATCAACACTTGCCTCCACCCACACTGTATCAACACTTGCCTCCACCCACACTGTATCAACACTTGCCTCCACCCACACTGTATCAACACTTGCCTCCACCCACACTGTATCAACACTTGCCTCCACCCACACTGTATCAACACTTGCCTCCACCCACACTGTATCAACACTTGCCTCCACCCACACTGTATCAACACTTGCCTCCACCCACACTGTATCAACACTTGCCTCCACCCACACTGTATCAACACTTGCCTCCACCCACACTGTATCAACACTTGCCTCCACCCACACTGTATCAACACTTGCCTCCACCCACACTGTATCAACACTTGCCTCCACCCACACTGTATCAACACTTGCCTCCACCCACACTGTATCAACACTTGCCCCCACCCACACTGTATCAACACTTGCCTCCACCCACACTGTATCAACACTTGCCTCCACCCACACTTGCCTCCACCCACACTTGCCTCCACCCACACTGTATCAACACTTGCCTCCACCCACACTGTATCAACACTTGCCTCCACCCACACTGTATCAACACTTGCCTCCACCCACACTGTATCAACACTTGCCTCCACCCACACTGTATCAACACTTGCCTCCACCCACACTGTATCAACACTTGCCTCCACCCACACTGTATCAACACTTGCCTCCACCCACACTTGCCTCCACCCACACTGTATCAACACTTGCCTCCACCCACACTGTATCAACACTTGCCTCCACCCACACTGTATCAACACTTGCCTCCACCCACACTGTATCAACACTTGCCTCCACCCACACTGTATCAACACTTGCCTCCACCCACACTTTCCTCCACCCACACTTGCCTCCACCCACACTGTATCAACACTTGCCTCCACCCACACTGTATCAACACTTGCCTCCACCCACACTGTATCAACACTTGCCTCCACCCACACTTGCCTCCACCCACACTTGCCTCCACCCACACTGTATCAACACTTGCCCCCACCCACACTGTATCAACACTTGCCCCCACCCAAACTGTATCAACACTTGCCTCCACCCACACTGTATCAACACTTGCCTCCACCCACACTTGCCTCCACCCACACTGTATCAACACTTGCCCCCACCCACACTGTATCAACACTTGCCCCCACCCAAACTGTATCAACACTTGCCTCCACCCACACTGTATCAACACTTGCCTCCACCCACACTGTATCAACACTTGCCTCCACCCACACTGTATCAACACTTGCCTCCACCCACACTGTATCAACACTTGCCTCCACCCACACTTGCCTCCACCCACACTTGCCTCCACCCACACTGTATCAACACTTGCCTCCACCCACACTGTATCAACACTTGCCTCCACCCACACTGTATCTACACTTGCCTCCACCCACACTGTATCAACACTTGCCTCCACCCACACTTGCCTCCACCCACACTTGCCTCGACCCACACTGTATCAATGATTGCCTCCACCCACACTGTATCAACACTTGCCTCCACCCACACTGTATCAACACTTGCCTCCACCCACACTGTATCAACACTTGCCTCCACCCACACTGTATCAACACTTGCCTCCACCCACACTTGCCTCCACCCACACTGTATCAACACTTACCTCCACCCACACTGTATCAACACTTGCCTCCACCCACACTGTATCAACACTTGCCTCCACCCACACTGTATCAACACTTGCCTCCACCCACACTGTATCAACACTTGCCTCCACCCACACTGTATCAACACTTGCCTCCACCCACACTGTATCAACACTTGCCTCCACCCACACTGTATCAACACTTGCCTCCACCCACACTGTATCAACACTTGCCTCCACCCACACTTGCCTCCACCCACACTGTATCAACACTTACCTCCACCCACACTGTATCAACACTTGCCTCCACCCACACTGTATCAACACTTGCCTCCACCCACACTGTATCAACACTTGCCTCCACCCACACTGTATCAACACTTGCCTCCACCCACACTGTATCAACACTTGCCTCCACCCACACTGTATCAACACTTGCCTCCACCCACACTGTATCAACACTTGCCTCCACCCACACTGTATCAACACTTGCCTCCACCCACACTGTATCAACACTTGCCTCACCCACACTGTATCAACACTTGCCCCCACCCACACTGTATCAACACTTGCCCCCACCCACACTGTATCAACACTTGCCTCCACCCACACTGTATCAACACTTGCCTCCACCCACACTGTATCAACACTTGCCTCCACCCACACTTGCCTCGACCCACACTGTATCAACACTTGCCTCCACCCACACTTGCCTCCACCCACACTTGCCTCCACCCACACTGTATCAACACTTGCCTCCACCCACACTGTATCAACACTTGCCTCCACCCACACTTGCCTCCACCCACACTGTATCAACTGTATCAACACTTGCCCCCACCCACACTGTATCAACACTTGCCTCCACCCACACTGTATCAACACTTGCCTCCACCAACACTTGCCTCCACCCACACTTGCCTCGACCCACACTGTATCAACACTTGCCTCCACCCACACTGTATCAACACTTGCCTCCACCCACACTGTATCAACACTTGCCTCCACCCACACTGTATCAACACTTGCCTCCACCAACACTTGCCTCCACCCACACTTGCCTCGACCCACACTGTATCAACACTTGCCTCCACCAACACTGTATCAACACTTGCCTCCACCCACACTTGCCTCGACCCACACTGTATCAACACTTGCCTCCACCCACACTGTATCAACACTTGCCTCCACCCACACTGTATCAACACTTGCCTCCACCCACACTGTATCAACACTTGCCTCCACCCACACTTGCCTCCACCCACACTGTATCAACACTTGCCTCCACCCACACTGTATCAACACTTGCCCCCACCCACTCTTGCCCCCACCCACACTTGCCTCCACCCACACTTGCCTCCACCCACACTTTCCTCCACCCACACCTAACCCTCCTGTGAAGAGAATATAAACTGTAGTTTTCACCCTCAGAACACAGCTAAGATGACATTTATAGAAGAAAAGAAAGCCAAAACAGACAGCTGCTACTATCTGTTTGAGTTGAAACATCAGGCTATTTGTTCTAAGTACTCATCTACATCTAGCTCAGGCCTAAGTGTCGGCTCAATTATTGTTATTGCGTAAGTATGACTAAAGACATCGGATCGCAAAGGACTTTCTGTAGGGGGGGGGGGGGGGTAGCCAACTTGTAGACTTAACCCTAGCAATAAATACATAAATATTTAGAAGAATAGCTGATATTTGGCTTTACTAACATCACTGGAAGTTAAATTGACAAGATACAATGTGCACTGTGCTAAGTTGTTATCAGTCATGAGTCTATAAACCCTTCAAAACTTACAGTTCATTTTGAGACGAGTCATTCGTAAAACACCAAAAACGAAAAGGAGTTCTTTTGTCGGCATGAAGCAGGTTGCGATTGTGTGAGAATTACAAGAAGTATTTCACTAACGAAGCACAGCATTAGTGCCATCATGTGAAGTGGCATTAGAAATTGCCAAACAAAAAAATCTCACACAATAGGAGAAAATCTAATCAAACACTACATGTTGGAGATGGTGTAGTAAAGATGCAACCAATATACCTGTCTGATAAAACTATTCAGCGGCGTATAGCAGACATGTCCCTAGATGTTTAAGAACAAAATTTGAATGAAATCAAGGTTTTACCATTGTTTGCTTTTCAACTTGATGAGTGAACAGACGTGAGTTCGTTGTTGCTTGTTGTAAAATATTTTCGTTTAGATGATAGCAAATAAGAGCTGCTTTTTTTGTGAAGATGGATAAAATTAATAATTTTTTTGAAACTGGAAGGTTAAAAAATGAGAATACAGCTGGGGGTTGGGGGGGGGGGGGTGTACAGATGGTGCACCACATATGCTTGGGTCAAAACTTGGCTTTCAGAAAAAAGTAAAAGATTTAACTCCCCCTATGTTATTAACCATACTAGCCAGTTGTTACCTGAACTAAGAAATATTGTCTGGCATCTTTTTGGTGCCATCAATTTCTGATGTCTGCATGCATCTTTCGTGTCACACACTTGGCCATGATGTAATGGTATCTGGTCATGATGTAATGGTATGTGGCCATGGTGTAATGTTATCTGGCCATGTTGTAATGGTATCTGGCCATGGTGTAATGGTATCTGGCCATGATGTAATGGTATCTGGCCATGGTGTAATGTTATCTGGTCATGGTGTAATGTTATCTGGCCATGGTGTAATGGTATCTGGCCATGGTGTAATGTTATCTGGCCATGGTGTAATGGTATCTGGCCATGATGTAATGGTATCTGGCCATGATGTAATGGTATCTGGCCATGGTGTAATGTTATCTGGTCATGGTGTAATGTTATCTGGCCATGGTGTAATGGTATCTGGCCATGGTGTAATGTTATCTGACCATGTTGTAATGGTATCTGGCCATGATGTAATGGTATCTGGCCATGGTGTAATGTTATCTGGTCATGGTGTAATGTTATCTGGCCATGGTGTAATGGTATCTGGCCATGGTGTAATGTTATCTGGCCATGGTGTAATGGTATCTGGCCATGGTGTAATGGTATGTGGCCATGGTGTAATGGTATCTGGCCATGGTGTAAGGGTATCTGGCCATGGTGTAATGGTATCTGGCCATGGTGTAATGGTATCTGGCCATGGTGTAATGGTATGTGGCCATGGTGTAATGGTATCTGGACATGGTGTAATGGTATGTGGCCATGGTGTAATGGTATCTGGACATGGTGTAATATTATCTGGCCATAATGTAATGGTATCTGGACATGGTGTAATGGTATCTGGACATGGTGTAATGGTATGTGGCCATGATATAATGGTATCTGGCCATGGTGTAATATTATGTGGCCATGGTGTAATATTATCTGGCCATAATGTAATGGTATCTGGCCATGGTGTAATGTTATTAAAATCTATTGATATTTTCTCTCTCACAGGATGGCTGTGATTTTGTGTGCAGGACTAAAGAACGGAGACACACTATTGGTGGTCTAGGTGACGACCAGCTGGACGTCCCAGAGATGAGAGATGAAAATCTTCTGCCAATGTAGCCTGAGCACTGCTAGATGGGGGACTTGTTAGTACTGTAACAATAGCACTCTCAAGTAAGACATGTGTAATGTCACAATAGTACTCTCAAATAGGACTTTTGTGATGAATGTTGAATAAGACTTGTGCAATGAGTGATTGGGTCAGTGATATTTTTTAAAAACAATTTTTTATCTATACCCATTCCGATATTAGTATAAATCTATATATATATATATTCATAAATATTAATTAAGATTAAAAGCAACTATACTGTTCTACTCTAACCAAGTTGAACTCAGTGGTGAACACACACCATCTCTCTTGTTGAAAGTTGTCAAACAGGTGATGACAGAATGTCAAACAGCTGATGACAGAATGTCAAACAGCTGATGACAGAATGTCAAACAGCTGATGACAGAAGGTCAAACAGCTGATGACAGAATGTCAAACAGCTGATGACAGAATGTCAAACAGCTGATGACAGAAGGTCAAACAGCTGATGACAGAATGTCAAACAGCTGATGACAGAATGTCAAACAGCTGATGACAGAATGTCAAACAGCTGATAGCTGATTGTTTTGCTGCTGAATACATTCCATTTGTACAGTATTTTTATACATTTTTTGATTGTCTGTGTTGGGTTCATCAATGTCTAGGGGTATATATATATATACTAGCCGTCCCGGCCAGGCCCTGCTCTGGCTTCTGTGAAAAACCTTTCCGTTAAAGACCATTACCTGTGTGTTTAGTAATCATCATAAACCCGGCATTGCCCACCCAAACCACAACCAACCAAAACAACAAAACGCAAACATAACGCTAACACAATTAGAAATACAAACGAAAACAAAAACCTAACAACAAACCCAACCACAACCACAAACACCAATACAAACACAAAGAAAAAACAAACGAAAACAAAAACCTAACAACAAACCCAACCACAAACACCAATACCAAAAAAAAAACGAAAAAGCAAACGAAAACAAACCAAATCCAAACGCAAAACCAACCAAAAACACAAATACAAACCCAAACAAAAAAAAAACAAAAACGAAAAAAGAAAGAACAAAAACGAACCAAATCAAAACGCAACCACTAACGCAAACCCACCTAAACACAAAGAAAACACTAACGCGAACATAAACGCCCGGGGCAGAATCGCCTGTTTTAGCTTAATAAACGACTATAGTACCCCAACTTATTCATAGTTTTTGCACTCACTTAAACGAACGCGCCTGTTTCAATTTAATGAACAATTATAATACTCCAAGCTTATCCGTAAAATACCTAAAACGTTTGCACTTGATCAATCCCCGCTAATTATGTAATTATTTTTTTTCCCAACACCAAAACAAAGTAATTAAAAAGTAAATGCTTTTCAACTAATGCAATGGGTTTCATAAAGGGAAGTAATTGTGTTTTGCCTAATTTATCAAAGGGAAGTAAGCGCTATAGGACTAAATAAAAACATAATTAGAATTTTTGTAAAAGATGATATTTGTTTTAAAACTTGTGTTTACTGAACATGCCGACAATTATTACTATAATTTGAAAAATGAAAATGATTTCCCAACACTTTTAATAGTAATTTTTTAACTCATAAATTTAGACAAACGCGCACGATAATTGATCTAACACTTAAATCCGTAGAAATGCCAACGACAAACATATGCGTTACAGAATTGAGCTTTATATATTAGATATATATATATATATATATAGCAACAGACAAATACAATGTATACAACAGTAGATAACTCTATCACTCTATAATAATAATAATAATAAGAGATTTAATATATATACAGTAATAAAATACTAAAAGATCAAAGGGGTCTACAACATAAATACAATACTCAACACCACGTTCCATGTTCCACGTCCACAGCCACACTACAACTAACTGCTTCACACACTGGCACACGCTCTGACACCCGTCACCTGACACACCTCACGTGAACACTTCTCGCTCCATGTAAACACACTCAACCAAGGGATACAACTATACACCAAAGGGAGGGTACCTGTCGTGCCAGCACACAACACACACACAAGCAGGGGACATGTAAGGAACGTACCAGTCTGAACACAAATTTTCAAAAGATTTGTTTCTTCTGTTTATCAGCAGAGGTTCTCTATATTTTGTGCTTGCTTTGGATAGGGTCACTATTTTTTTACCCATCACTATCCTTTTTTTTAAGTAAGTTCTTTATGCATTATATTGTGTAATTGAACTATTATTTAATGTTTTGTACTAATTGAAACGAATATTTATAATAATCTCCCTTTTCCCATCTCAGCGGCTTAGTATCTTACAGTTGTCAGTTTAATGGAATAGTTTCATCTTTACAGTCAAGTACTGAGCCTATATTTTATTTATTGAAACTTCTATATTTTTATTGTTCACTATATTACATGTCCCACTTCTTTTTTAGCCTAGACTGCATCTCACCAACATGAATTACTTACACATTTTTGTGTATAAACGTCTATATTTACTAACCAGAGTCTTAACTACAATGTTGGAGGGGAAAATGGGATTCCCACGGCTCATTCTCCCATATATGTATATAAATAAATAAATATAATTTTCACAAAAAATATCTTTCTCTATATATGTGTTTGTGTGTTCATGGGTGCGTGCGTTTGTACGTATGAATAAGTGAACTTTTGAGATTGAAATAATTTTCACTTTGTGCAAACATATTAACCCACCTAAAAAAACATTTAAGGACCTAACAATTTGAAATTGAAGTGCAAAACCATTTTTTTTTTTTGTGAATTATTTAATTTGGGATCATTCCCGACCCCCGACGTGGATAAACTTATCAGTTATGTTTTGGCTTGGTGTCACCCCTCCCCTAAATGGTGTCATATTGTGTGGTACGCACCCCTGACCCTCTCCCCCTACGGCTCTGTATTTATGTTAAATGTCAATAGATCTTAAACAGATGATTCCAATTTTTTTCAAATACCGTTATGTTTACATTTATGCAGCTATTGTTATTGAAGAAAAAACATGTTCTTAGTAAACAATAATTTTATTCTTTCTCCTGGTCAGATTTTATGGACGACCAACTGGCCACTATCAATAGACACCTTCTGTTTTTTCCTTGCGTCTGAAGCAACACAAATACGTTTGCATATTTGTTTCCACAACATAAATGCGTGCCCTTGTCAAAATAACGTATAGTTATCAATGCAACAACATCAGACATTTACCCGCCCCGAATCATACCATGATTCAATTTTAGGCTGTATCCCAGATATAAAATCATGTAATACTTCATATTTTACCAGAATTTCAATAAGTAAGAAAATTTAATTTTTCAAAATACCATTTTTTATACTCAAAAAAAATAAAATAAATCCAAACGTTTATCCAATGTTATACACAGTTTTATCCAAACTTTTTCTAAAAATCCTTTTTTAGTTATTCGCAATATTATTATTGCATTTAAAAATATTTTTACAGTAATACACGTTGAAATGCAACAACAAATTTTTTTTTTGTTTTACAAATCTTCTTATATAAGAGGAAACTGTTTATATAAAGTAAGATATAACTCAAATTTATTTATTTTTAAAAACGAAATGTTTAAAATATTATGCTGTGTGTTTAAGATCCATTGCTTAATCAGTTATTTATAAAAATAATAAAAAACTCGTTAAAAATAAAAATTATCGAAACGGAAATAAAATATAGAAAAAAACATTCAGAACACGATAACACACCAGAGAAAAACAGAAAATTCCCAAAATAGCGTGAGCATGCAAAGTTTTGTAGAAACACAATAATTCTAGATCTGGGACCCATATTTCTACTTATTTATGTTAATCAGGTTCAAGTTTGTCCTTATATCGCGTAGCCCCAGACTAGAATACATTTTTCATAAAAGTAAATTTCCCCTTTCAGATCAAACGGTCCGTAGGCCAAATGAAGTAGAGTTCACGTGTTTCTTGATTTCTGCATTTGAAGAAATGGTTGGCACAATGCCCAGCCACCATTACTTTCCCTAAAGTCAGAGTTGAGTGGACTCAGTGATGCACAACATTTTTACTGAATTTTATCATTTTATCATAATTACGACATTCGTACTTTATTTAATTACAATAATTAACAAATTGCTTTGAGACTACAAAGACAATTATAATTTTATAACATGTAATTATGAATTACATCAGTATACAACTGAATTTTAATCGTTATCATAAATAAATAATATAAAATACATAAACCTATAGAGTATTATTTTAATAATACATTTGAGTGGGGTTCGACAACAAGAAAGTGTCGTAAAGGTAAATCAGGGAATGCATTAAAATATATTCTATTGCCATTACCAAATGAAAAGCATTGATAAAAAACAATCGTTAATTCTGCTGTCATCATCCTGTGGCTTCTATTGTTCTTGTATTGAAAAGGGTATTGTTGCTGCTGTCGTAGTTAGATTTTTTTTGGAATTGTTGTGGTTGTTGGATTGGTTGTAGTTGTTGTTGGAATGGTTGTGATTGTTGTTGGAATGGTTGTTTGTTGTTGGAATGGTTGTGGTTGTTGTTGGAATGGTTGTGGTTGTTGTTGGAATGGTTGTGGTTGTTGTTGGAATGGTTGTTTGTTGTTGTTGGAATGGTTGTGGTTGTTGTTGGAATGGTTGTGATTGTTGTTGGAATGGTTGTGATTGTTTTGGAATGGTTGTGGTTGTTGTTGGAATGGTTGTGGTTGTTGTTGGAATGGTTCTGGTTGTTGTTGGAATGGTTCTGGTTGTTGTTGGAATGGTTGTGGTTGTTGTTGGAATGGTTGTTTGTTGTTGGAATGGTTGTGGTTGTTGTTGGAATGGTTGTGGTTGTTGGAATGGTTGTGGTTGTTGTTGGAATGGTTGTGATTGTTGTTGGAATGGTTGTGGTTGTTGTTGGAATGGTTCTGGTTGTTGTTGGAATGGTTGTGGTTGTTGTTGGAATGGTTGTTTGTTGTTGGAATGATTGTGATTGTTGTTGGAACGGTTGTGGTTGTTGGAATGGTTGTGGTTGTTGTTGGAATGGTTGTGATTGTTGTTGGAATGGTTGTGATTGTTGTTGGAATGGTTGTGGTTGTTGTTGGAATGGTTGTGATTGTTTTCGGAATGGTTGTGGTTGTTGTTGGAATGGTTGTGGTTGTTGTGGAATGGTTGTGGTTGTTGTTGGAATGGTTGTGGTTGTTGGAATGGTTGTGGTTGTTGTTGGAATGGTTGTGATTGTTGTTGGAATGGTTGTGGTTGTTGTTGGAATGGTTGTGATTGTTGTTGGAATGGTTGTGGTTGTTGTTGGAATGGTTGTGGTTGTTGTTGGAATGGTTGTGGGTGTTGTTGGAATGGTTGTGGTTGTTGTTGGAATGGTTGTGATTGTTGTTGGAATGGTTTTGGTTGTTGTTGGAATGGTTGTGGTTGTTGTTGGAATGGTTGTGATTGTTGTTGGAATGGTTGTGGTTGTTGTTGGAATGGTTGTGATTGTTGTTGGAATGGTTGTGGTTGTTGTTGGAATGGTTCTGGTTGTTGTTGGAATGGTTGTGGTTGTTGTTGGAATGGTTGTTTGTTGTTGGAATGGTTCTGGTTGTTGTTGGAATGGTTGTGGTTGTTGGAATGGTTGTGGTTGTTGTTGGAATGGTTGTGATTGTTGTTGGAATGGTTGTGGTTGTTGTTGGAATGGTTGTGAT